AATAAAAAAACAGCATGATGATAGACAAATTTACAATCAACAATATTAAAATATCATAATTCAATAGATTTGTTCACATATACATGAAAACATGTATAACATTTATATTCATACATATGAGCAAACGCATTTTCAGTTTGCATCAAGAAATTCTTTGGTACTGTAGTAACATTTGTCTTGCAAATATACTTTCAATTCTGATTTGAAGAAATTTTTATTCCTTGCTATCTCAGGTTTGCGGGAAGATGATTGAAAAACGTTATACCTCTATATGAGGGGCTTTTTCATAGAATGATGAGCTGTGTGCAGGAATTCTGATGAGGTCTCCGTTGCTAGTTGGGTAACCATGGCAATGAGAAATTGTTTGATACATCTCAACATGTTGCATAAATAACATTATACATTTGAAAACATAAATACATGGAACTATTAAAATTTTATATTTTCGAAAATATGGTGGACACGATTCATCTGGTTTTAGATTCAAAATGAGTCGAATAATTCTTTTTTGGGAGCATCCCCAAATGTTGATGATATAGGATATGTTGCAGTAGATTAGAGCATAATATACATTGATGAGCTGATTGGTATTGAACATATTTTTTAATTGCAACATAGCATAGTAAACTGTGTTCACTTTTTTGTTTATGGCATCAATATTATATTCCCAACTCATTCCACTATCTGAGTTCCAAGAAATTTCGTAACTTCAGACATATGAATAGTGCTATTTTTGACAACCACTTGAATATCAGTCACAGATCTCCACCTGGAAAGGAAATGCATACAGACTGTTTTCTCTGCATTCACTATCAAAAATTTTTTTTCACACCAATTCATGAATTCTCCTGCTGAATTATTTAGTTTTTTTTGTAAGTCTTCAGGACTATCTGCATCAATGGCCAATGTAATATCATTTGCATAGATAACTACTGAATTTGAACTGATAGTCACGTAGATCATTTATGATAACTGTTTCAACATTTTCATGTGCGCCACCTACAGGTGTCGGCATAAGGCTGAAACTATGTTTTCACAATTTTGGGAAATGTGTGATTCAGTTCAGTCGATTTTTTCATGAAGTCGCTGTTAGTTGACCTATTTTTTTCAAAATCAATCATACTTTATTGTTGATCGAAATATAAATCCATTTCCAATAGTTTATGTTCAATTACAATTATGATAATTTCATTTGAAGTTTTAATATAAAATATCAATACCTACATATACAAACAGGTTGTAGAAAGTATCTAATTCTTATTTATTCATTGGCATCAGCCATCATGAAAATTTGACACGACTGTACTACGTCGTATCGTAAAAAATCAAAATTTTAAAACACTAAATTGCCACGAGAAAAATCAATCAAAGCAATCATTTTCGGTTCGTTAGATTTATTGAATTGAATCAAACTTCTTTGAATGTTACAAATTGGGAAATGATATTCATAAGTTGGTTATTTTAAGGTTGATACTTGGAAGGCTATTGAAACCACAATTTTTTTCAGAAATTCAATATTCACTATCTGTTGTGTCATCAAGTGTTAGCAATTGGGTTTCATGATTTACGAGTATACTGCCGAACGGAGAAAGTCCCGTGAGTCAAGAAAATATTACCGAAGTTTATACGGTGCGTTCATGAAACTATGTACGTAAATCAAAAGATAAATAGATGATTTTGGCTTTCTACTACTCCATCTGATACAAAAAAATGGATTTTTTTTTGTATCAGATGGAGTAGTAGAAAGCCAAAAACTTTCTTTCCCAAAAAATTAATCACTCCTGAAAATATAACCCTTTCAAATCATAAATAGATGAGTACTATCCTGATCATTCCCATATTGATTTCAATTTAAGAGCCTCCGGTAGACAGCTGTTTCAGCCTGTTGCGCATCGTCAGTACCAGGCAGGCGGTCCTCGATTAAAGACAAAATGTGAAAACCAAGGAAAGTACCTGATGAAGATAATTGCGTGAACGCAAGCGGGACATAAGTGGAACCACCTGTTAGTGTGACAACCAAGTTAACTTGCCAAGTTTTTATGTCAGTGTTGGTGGTTTAACCAATCAACCGACAACTGCGGTAGTAGAAATTTGAGAAGCTATCCTGGAATGCCATCGTGAAACGAATCCACGTTTCTAAAAATCATATGAAATCGAGAAAGGTTAATGCAGTCAAGCTGCTAGAAAATAATTCCATGAAAATCAAAAGATAAATACTATTCAGGTCAGTCCCATATTGATTTCAATTTAGGAGCCACCGGTAGACAGCTGTTTCAGCCTGTTGGGCATCGTCAGTACCAAATAATAGGTTTGTTCTGGTTCTGCGAAATTCAGGTTCTAGAACGTCAGGATCATGCGCAGTTGATAAAGAGCGTTCTGGTTCATTGAGGATAATTTCAGACTGATGAATCCTCTGTTCTGGTTTTGACTGCGAAATGATCCTAAACTGTTTTGAACCGTCCCGAATCGTTCTTGCTCTCGAGGCTGAACTGTTGAGAACTGTTTCCGTTGCTCATGCGCATTCATGTGGAAATTTGTTTGGGCTATTTGCTAGGATGTTTTTTTATTTATTTGATTTGAAAAATTGATGATTGAGGGTAGATAACATTTGAGCTGACTATAGGGATACGCTACGTAACAAAATGGACATGATTAATAGTATTTTCACATCTTCCTCTCTTCATATATACGAAAGATGGCATAGTGGTCTCCTCAAAAGCGTTCTGGTTTAAACTAGTGTCCGAGACTATTCCGGACTGTTTGAGATTTTTTGTTTGTTCGCACCATGTCTTGCGCAGTTACCAAACGTTTTGGGATGTTAGAACCAGAACAAACCTAATGTCTGCTTCCGCAGTTGTCTGTTGATTGGTCAAACCACCAACACTGACATAAAAACTTGGCAAGTTGACTTGGGAGTTACACCAATAGGTGTTTCAACTTATGTCTTGCTTGCGTTCACCAACCACCATCGTTATTATAAAAGTACTGATTAATCAACTGTGATGTCATCTATGATACAGATATAGCAATATTTTTAAAACAATCTAGTGTTTTGACCGATTCGCTTTATGTCATGAACTCTCGACGGAAGCAAAGAAAACAAAGCCGATAGAAGCTCAAAAGTGGAATTTTCACATTACGTAAAATTTTTAGTACTTACCCTGACCACTAGAGGGCGATGGCAGTATGTCAGCATTTGATGAGAGAATCAACAGAATTGGGTAGATAACAGTCGCTGACAACCAGAAGGTCGGGTGATATGGAAGTCGAGATGTACGCCAAAATGAATTAAATTAAAAAGCCGACTGGTTTGTCAGCGACTGCTACCCATTTCTATTGATAATCACATTAAATACTGGCATCGTACTGCCGCCGCCCTCTTGTGGCCAGGATAAATACTAAAAATTTTACATGACACGAAATTGCCACTTCTGGGCTTCTATCTATGTATATAGATTAGCTTCAATGGGCTTTGTATTCTTTGACGGGAGAAATGAAGAAATGAAATTGGCTCAACTTTGTACATATGTTGATAGCAGGTGCAAAAATCGAATTTCATTGCGCGTACAATTTGGTTCTAAAAAATCATGGAATCACAGAACATATTATTTATGTCATTTTTCATTTACATTGGCTATAATTATGGAAGCCTATAGATATCATAATGTATATTCTTGTTATTATATCCGTGGATGTCAAGAATAACTTATTTCATTTTTTTCAAATACATCATCAAATAAAAAAAGGTTTAGTGTGTTCTTGAAATGTTCAAAAATCATGGAATACAGAAAGATTGCCAGAACCCACCAGAATCTTGAAAAATATAATTGGTAAATATCAATAAACAAAATGGTCTTCACCTAACGTGACGTAAGGTGTAACAGAATACTCATCCACTCAATCACATTGAGAAACATTAGAAAAAAGGCGTTTGATTCCATTATTTTAGGTTTTGTTGTAAAATAAATGAGTTTATGATTGTTGACTCTGAAATCCATTTCCAGTTCAATTTCAATTATTTTCGTATGATTTCCTTTCGATTTGACGAATTTTTGTTGAGAGTGTGGTTGAGATTGATATGATCGTTCAATATTACAGAACCCAAACCTCCTGCAGACAGACTTGGCTGTAACATTAGCATTAAGACATACTGAATCATTTTCCTGTTATTTTTGAAATTGAAATTGCCATAATTATTATCCAATTTACAAAAACTGGGGACATTCTGATCATTATGAACAAGCCCATAGGGTCGTATACATCAGATTCTGGAAATAGTGCACTGTTATATGAGTGAATGCACTTATGGGGACAAATGGGATTTTGAATTTAAGTGCATGTGCTGCAGATTTATTAAAAGTATTTCTTCATTGGACGTGAGGCATATCTCAAACAACATACATAATTGCTATGTGTCAAAGTAAAAAAATGTCATTCATCATAACTCATGGGAAGAGTGTACCGTCAAAGAATAGTAAATACTCTGTGATACCGTGACACTTGTAAGTTGGCTCCCATGTTTGGGCGAGGAAATTTTTGGCGGCTGTTGTGTCAGTTGTGTTGTTATACACAGACAGGGCCATCGAGAGGGATTAGAGGGGTTGGGGCCGAGTTTGAAGTAAGAAATACACCATTTGAAATAATTGCGAAACAAATTTAATTGATACAATGTATAAGTTATGCATTTATATAGTTACCACTAGTTTCTGTTTTGAATTTGTTGGGCTATAAACATAGATACTGGATATATATTATAATATCTTTGTTTATAAAGATTTGAGTTCTGTGATCCATGGTGTATAATTTTCTGTGATCAAATTAGGTGAACTCCCCCATCTGGGAAAAATTGTTTATCTCTTCCTGTATTATAAGTGAAACAGCGAGAAACATTCGATTTTCCTCCTCTTGATTAGAAAATCAAGATTTGAACCAAAGATACACCAACTACCAGATGTACTCCTTGATTGGAACTCACCTACTAATGCTGAACACTGACTTGACAGGTGACATGACTTTTGTGTCCCATATATTTTTGTACCTTTCTCCTTTCTAATAAATAATAAACATGAACATAGCCATCTGACGCTGGGCTGATCATCTGCTTTAAAAGGACATAGTAGAAACTTTGTTGCCGATAATTTGGAATATAAAAGTATATTATTACTATAAAGATGGATCATTTAGCCCAAGATCTCACAATTGCTTTGGAAGAATCAGAAACTTGTGGGCCTTTGATAACAAATGGTGGAAAATGGGGCATGAGACGTAGGACAAGATCTGCAGGAAATTTGCGTAAATATTCCCACTATCACAGTAGTACCTAATTGGATAAGATTGTATTTTAGATTTGTATGTAAACAAGCCAGGGGAGAATCATTCAGATGAGAGTTCTAGCAGTAATTCGGAAATAAAGGGTGACAAACATCGCAATAAATTGATTAGTTTCCATCAGTCCGACTCTGACGATATGTCATTCAGTATTACTGTAGCTAAAGCTTTAAATCAGAGGACATCATTGAGAATGAAACATCCCATACATAATTTTTTTCGAGGTAGGGTAGAGTACTGGAAATAGTATATAACAAGTAGCTTGGTACTAACATTTACTTACTTCAAGAAATACTTTTGGTATTGTCATGATATTGTCTGTTGAGAATCATAGTGGTAAGTCCAGTGTCTGACTGGGCTGGACGGGCCTGGGCAGTGAGTAAATTTTCACAAGCTTCTGATGAAGGGAAATGGAATATTATTGGATAGTTGTGGAGTGTCTGTGTTTCAACATTATAAATTATTAGAATAATGTAATTCTAATAAGGGTCATTACACATCCACGTAAAAGCTCTTGGAATTTTCTTTGCATATTCAATAAATACACTGTATAGACCCTATAGCTATGAGTAAACCAATTAAGTGGAAGAAAACCACATGAAATGTAAATATATTTTTGTGTAAAAATTTGATGAGGTAATAACAATTATCAGGTCAATTTGCCAACAATTAATTACATTATCATTTTTTGTTGATAATTTCTTATGCATATACATATTGAGAAATTTTATCAGTACTTTGCTTCATGAGTAAGGCATGTGTGGTTATTAAGCTGGAATGTTCCATTAAAGTATATAAATACATTATGTTAGTATCTCTTGATTTGTAGATGGTGAACAGTTCAAATGATTGACTGCAAAATCTCATCAGTTCTTTTCCTCTATAAACAACTTCAAAGGCTGCACAACCAATCAAAATTCTTTGATTTCTTCAAAAGTTATCTTCATTTAAATATTTCTAAAGTTTTTTTGAAATAACTTCATGACCAATTGACTTTTATGGACAATATTACTCAAAACCACGACAAATGCCTTTGAAATAGTTCAATTCACTTAGAAAATATTGTTATGAGAATTTTTCAATAAATTATCTCTTCAAAATAATTTTCAAATACTTTGATGAAGCAATATTTTTGAACGAACATCATTTCTTTCTCAAAGAAAAGCATTGAAAGCCCCAATACAGTTGATTTCTCAGTAAATATTGTCTTTCAAAACATAAAAAACACCATTATTATTTTTGGAGCTCAAGGAGGTCGAAAATTAGCCAAGTCATATTCTTCAGTTCGAAGAGCTCAAGAATTACAAGCAGAAATAATTTTGGGAGCTTTGAGCTTGAAAATAGTGGGAAGTTTTAGAGATGACCTCAGGGTCAACAATTTTTCTGTTTTTTTCATTTCATTTTCCTCCATGTATGTATGAACCATTTAACATGTAAGTCGCCAGCTAGGGGGTATGTAGGGTCAGGGATTCACGCAGGGCAAACACCATCTCCACTGTATGACCAGTCCGACACAGGATAAGTTCAAAGTTCATTACCTATGGAAAAAAACATAAAAATTTGAATTCAAACTAAATGACAGGACAACTGCTTAGTAATTTTATCATATGGACGTAAAACACAGTATGGATTCAGGTAGAATTTAGTGGTTTTTACTCTAAAAGTGAATTATGTATTTTCACTACTATGACTCTCAACAAGTTGATTTTCTTTAAATATTTTATAGGTCAAATACTTTTTCAGTGTTGTTGAAATGTTGCAATTCATTATGTAGTTATGTTTATTTTTGTGTGTTCATGGTGGTTGTATGTAGCTATTATTCATTTTATTTGATAATTTTACGAACCCAATAGCGCTCTGACACGGCTTCACACATATAGCAGAACAAATGTCTACCTTTTTTTTTTCGTCATAGTGTCATTAGCTTGTCCCTGAAGAAGATTCTTGTTTTTTCCGGAAGGGCGTGCTTTTGAAGATATAAGCACTAGAAATTTTGAATTTCACTAGTTCGGACTTCCATTGTCTATTATATAAAATGATTTGAAATCCCTGAAACATTTTATATAATAGACAATGGAAGTCCGAACTAGTGAAATTCATCACGAAACATTGTCAATCACCTTCAAACAAACTAGAAATTTTGCTTTACAAAAAGTTCTGTAACAGTCCAGAACATTCGAGAGTGTTCAAGAGCACTCCAGAACATTCCAGAACATCTCGGAAATTTGTGAATTGTTCGGCAAAACCCCGGAACATCTTAGATCATTGAGGAATGATGAGTGATTTGTTAGCTCTCTATCCTCCATCCAAAAAGAAGGCTCCTGTTTTACCTGAAAACTGTGCTATTCAAGTTTTGGAATTTTTGCCCTCTAGAAAGTTCTAGAATTCGAAAGTGTAACAGCATTCCACAATATTCCAGAATATTCCAAAATGTTTTAAAATAGTCTGGAACATACAGGAACATCCTGTGGAATGATCAAATCTGTAACCCTCTACCCTCCATCCAAGAAGGTTTTTGATTTTACCTGAAGCGCGTGCTTTTGAAGATATAGGGGCTGGAAGTTTGACCTTCCAGAAATTTCTGAAACAGTCCAGACTATTTGAGAGTATTTGACAGCAAAATATTCGGGAATTTTCGAGAATAGTCTGAAATGTTCGGAAATCTTCTTGGTTATTATGAAACGTTCCAGAACAGTTCCGAGTGTTGTGGAATATTTTGGAACATTGTAGACAATTGTAGAAATCGATTATGCATTCAAAGCCTTTTTTTGCATAGGTGGGGCTACCCATTGGTAGTGGTTAATGGAGCAAGATCCGTCAACCTCTTATAATTTGGAGTTCCTTTCCTTGCTTCTACCACACAACTTCATATTAATTTCCTGGATGAAGACTGGTATCCCAACTAATAACTAGTAATAATGACCTTGGGAAAAATTCACTAAAACAAAAGTATATCCACAACTACCAATTTTAATTTTGTATTAGGTACGTACCTATCTTCCTGAAGACAACACAAAACAAATATACAACTTTTTCGTATTGGTTTGTCCGGCCACTTTATTTCCTCGCGCGATATTTTTAGTTTTGCCATAACTCCCAATATATTGATATAAATTATATGTTGTATATCTCGAACGGATTAGACAGCCTTTTCGATGAAAGCACCACTGTCTGAGGATACCATGAATTGCTTGAAGTATGAGGATACCAGACAATTAAAAAATCTCCATGAAATATTGAGATGCAGTTTCAACAACATATTCTAGGGAATCAAAATTAATGTCACACCAATTTGAGATTAAATTGAAATTATTGCAAATGCTAAAGATGGGTGACTTGAGGTACAAATTGGTTCTGGTCAGTCGGCTGTAAAAAGTTTTTGTACTCTTAGTTCTAAAATGAGGCACACATATATTTATAAGAGATAAACCTCCATAACATCCACATTGTTGTGCAGTAATTTATACAGAAAAATCTGCGCAATTCAAGATTTCAATATTGAATGTTATGGTAAGAGATTCATATAGGGATAGGATAGATAGCATAAGATTTGAAGTAAATGAAGCATATCTCCAGCTTGGAGCTCGAGTTGAAAATAGGGCCGTCAGAATTTTGACGTATGGAAAAGAGTATTTATTTATATTATATATCAATTTCTCTATAAAAATCATTCAGGTTTTAGATAGTATACCATGACTTGAGTCTTCATATTAGCCCTGTGGGATTGAGAACGTTATTCCAAATGATTTTATATTCAAAGCAAGCCTGTCTGTTCAAAAACTAATTTGAATATTCGAAATTCGCGGGCTGCGTACATTCGATTACCAATTTTTAATTTTTTATGTTGGTAGACTCCTCTCAAACATATGTTCACTTTCAGCTATTCAACATGTTTAGTTTGTTGGTGAGAGGCTTATGGAAAAGCTACTGTGTTAGTGAAACATGTCGTGATATCTTTTTAAAAGATAAAGTTTGTGGAGATCAAATCTTGAAGTGTAGTTTATGAAACTTTACTAATTGACGGAGCCGCTTTTTTCCGAAATGTCACTAGAATATAATCTTACAATGCCAATGATATTATTTTCTATATGAAGTATATCGTAGATAGTGTTCATTCAAATCGTGATTGTTCCCCAAAAGGTGGCACGCATAGGTGGAATTTGTCTTCTTCAGTTCGGAGATTCTCGTTTTAAATTTCTTGAAGTCCTTCCGATATAAACTCTTGGACACGACCCGCATGTTAGTTTCAAGATATCTGATCTGTTATCCTTGTCTATGTGACAAAGATAACATAGGAAGAATTTCAAGAAATTTTGAAACGAGAATATCGTTATACAAAAGAAGTTTTCAACTGAAGAAGACCACTTTCATCCATGCCTGCCACCTTTTGGAGAATAATCAGGATTTCACCATTAACTATGACATACTCCATACAGAAAATAAAGGAATTGAATTGAACCTGCTGGAGTCTCTTGAAATCAACAAGGGCAAACATTCATACTTCCTTTTTATTGAATGACCAAGAGTTTAACCACTCACCATTCTGTTAAAAAAAAACTGTTTTTCCGTTAATCAGCTGTCGCCCCCATACAAACGACAACTCTCAGAAGTTGAGAAACTTGTGCGAGCAAAGGACTAACAAGGTCTTACCTTTTAACGTGTGATTCCTAACACCATTGCCAAGCTTTGTTTTATAATGCCAAGAATTGAGCTTGTAATTGTCTTTCAAATTCTACCTGCTATCTCATATACCAGTAACCAATTAAGTGAGAGATAACTACAATTGTTGTATATGAGAATTGAAAAGTTTAATGCTAAAATTATTTTTAACAAGTGTACTCAGCATTATTTCAACATATCGACCTCAGATTTTAGATTGTAGCCAAATATAGGTCTCTTCTATATGCGCTACTTTGAGAAGTAGACAGATGAGTTTGAATTCTCGGCCATGTTGACAGAAAACCGTAATAACTCAAAAATGACTAGTATTAGGAGATATTCACGTGTCGAAGACCTTTTTTAGACTAAACGTTTTGCAGTGAGCTGAGTTGAACTAAGAAGCCCTCAACGACTTACAGGGGTAGCAATTGCTTTAATCATGTCTTTCGGACATACGACCTTCAGGCAGTACAAGAAAGATCAGCACTGCTCCAAAAAAGCCTGTTTCATTGTAATACAACATTTTTCTTGTTTACATAAACATTATTATGAATCAAAGTTTGTGGATATAGCCTATTTGTTTTCCATCTGTGAATTATCAGAAATGTCAGTCAATTTCCCACTTACCGCGCGTGCTTTTCTGTAACTATATTACCTATATTACTTAAATTATTCATTTTGAATTGGAATGGCAACTGAATTTTCAAATTTCAGATAAATGAAAGACATATACTCATAATATTACAAATATGAGTGACATTGTCTAATAAGTTCTGTAATGATGAGCATTTCTTTTCAATTTTCATCAGTATAATTCTGCTGTTTTTCGCCGAGACAACATTAGATCAAAGATCAAAGAGGAAGATCAAACTGTTTGATCTTCCTCTTGAAGTTGACCACTTGGTGATCGAAACACGTGCCGAGGTGTTAAAATAACGGTTTGGTGTTGGGAAAAAAATCCAGTAATATTCATTACTACACCAAACATTCCAAACAGTGCATCACAAGTGAGTAAAGTTTATTATTAAAAAGATTGAAGCCCTGACACTTGGAGGGTGCACCAGCATTCATAAGCAGTGACCACTGTCCAGTAAATGATCATTGGGTGTTGGTATCGTATGCCTTGGGAAGACAAGCATAATAGTTCTTCTGCATTTGTGCTGCCAAAATTTCGTCCGTAGTTCGATTGTAGCAAAAGCACTATGCCACCACGGACTCCAATAATCAGAACAATCATTTCAACTGAGTGGTTCTAAGAGTCTGTGAAGTGTGAAGAGGAAACCTCGTTATTTCATCTGTTTTTCGTTTTGCTCCCGGACGATAATCTTTGCAACTGGAGCTGAAAACTCCCCAAAGAATATCGTCCACCATTAAAGTAACACGGTAGAGCAGGCTCATTAGCTTGTACTAGATTGAGTCCTTCAAGATTTTTGCGATCAGAGAACTTTTTAACATTATCAGTTTGACATATTTATGTTTAGAGTTGAATAGTGTTAGAATTGTTTTCGCATGAAGTTGTTTACTTTTTTCTTTGGAACAATATCAGTATCAAATTCATAGCTTATTCATGACGGTGATTTACACCAGCTTATGAAATATTTTCTTCTAATACATTTTTTTAGTCATTGTTTTACAGTGAATTAATTGAAACATAAGGACAATTGCAGAATGACCATTTATGTAATTCTAACTTTGACTTTAATCTAGTTGTATTCCAATAGGTGTCAGTCATAGTCTTGAGAGTGACTCGGTGAATGAACATTCTCCGGCCAGACCAAACCTGAGACGGAAAAGGAAATTGAAACGAATGAGCATCGATGAAACACCTATCCCCCCATGCGGGAAAAGGAAGCGATCGCATAGATTAGAAGTTGTGGATAACGGCAGGTCTATAAGGCACAGCTCAAAGATTAGACCGTTGCATCAGAGTATTGTGGATAAAATTGAAAAGTTTTGTAATCCGTCTGGTGGAGTGGATGATGTGAGGGAATTTGAATTATACTTTTGGGACATTGAAATATTCATTGGCTTTTCAATTTCTATTCAAGGTCAATTTAATGGAAACTCAGAGTATCGATGAAAATTGTGACGCAGGAAGCGAGAGTAGTATTAGCTGGAGTGGCGGAGAGGGCCACGAGGGGGATGATGAACTCACTGATTGGGCTCCGTCTATCGATAACCCGTCTGTCATGGATCCAACTTCGTTCAACGAATCTGATTCTAGGGAAATGCGAGCAGGTGAGCACTTCAAGTTTTTTTATAACTTAACGATACTTTCATATCAAACTTTCATGGTGATTGTGACTTTCATGGTCAGTGAAGGAAAAGTTTCAATACTCGAGTATAAAGAAACAAAAATATGTTTTCAAATACAATGAACCCAAATTTATTTATAGGGTCAGTAGAGTTTGAGTAAATGTCCTAATCGTAAAGGAAATAAACGTAGGAAAGAATAAATATCACAATAATATTGACTACTTTGAGAGGACTCGCAATTTGTGATGAATTCTGATCATAAAAGTTGTTTAGGAAAACGTCTAATCTCTGTTACAAAAACACTTTTTCCTGTTTGTATAAAGCGATGTTAAAATAAAATTAGTTGTCTCGAAAGTATTTTTTCTTTTGTGAATTAAATGTTTATATGAAAGTAATTGTTTCTACAGGCTTTTTTTTCAGTTTGTGACTGAAAGTTACTTTTTTGCATGATCTACACATCTTTGTGAAGAGTTGTTTATTTTGAAATGAATGTCTTTCTTCGGTAGATACTCAAATTTTTTTGTATAAAGATGGAGAAGTAGAAAGTAAAAACTTTCTTTCTCAAAAATTAATTTCTCCTAAAAGTATACTTCTCTCAAGATTTTTATGGCTGGGGTTAAATCAAATAAGCGAATGAATGTCATTGATGATGTGAGTAGATTTAACTCACTCATGATATAAATTCTTAATTTTATGAATGAGTTGACTGCTTCATCTTATAATGTTATCCAGATTGATGCTGAAGAGGCAATTAAGCAAGTGTCTTATTCAGAAATATTGGATGTCCGCCATTGAGGATGACAGTGTACCATGTAAGTGAAATTTTACGCCTTTCATATACTATATTGTGTAGCAATCCTTTGAATGATATCTGATTCGATTCCATAACGAATGTTTGGAAGACAAACTGCATAGAAAAAAGTGTTTTTTGTATAATCCAATGTTCATAAAAAAGTAGTTGTTTCTAAAGTATTCTTTCCTTGGTTCTTGGTTCAATTCAATGTTTATATGAAAGAAGTGTTTTCAAGAGGACTTTTTCTTCCAGTTTGTGTCTGAAAGTTACTTCTTTGCATGAGCTACAAATCTTTTTAAAGAGTATATAATGAAATTTTTTTGCTTTCTTTCTTTCTTTGGAAGATTCCCACATTTTTTTTGTATAAAGATGGAGAAGTAGAAAGTCGAAACCTTTCTATCCAGCACTTAAATATAATGACTATTACCAAAGGATATTTTTAATCGATCATCAATATCATCCGTTAGTTTTTGAACGTAGATGAATTCTTTTACTTGATTATTTTTAATAATTGTTCACACAATACATTAATAAGTAATAATTTCACAATCCCATTAAGAATACTCGTAATGTAAGTAGAATGTACACTATGGTAGTTGCAGGAAAATATTATAAATCAACGATTATAATAAAACAGTGATGTAATATATGCAAAACACAAATAAGGAGTAAGTTAGCAAAATATTGAGTGGCAATAAGGTCTTTCAATCAACAGATTTTTTCACTGCTTTTCTGAAATCATTGAAAAATAATATATTTTTTATTCATCAGATATGTACAAATTAGATTATTCGTTTCGAGTATTTCAAACACTATATAAGTGTAAATAAGGGAAGTTTTCTCAAAATATTTCGAAATGTCTAGTACTTGAATATGAAAAACTCGTTTTTCTCAATTGTCATTTATGCTGAGGGTTTTCACATTTGCCCTCAATAAATCTGTTGGTCAATTTAACCATTCATCCAACAACAATAATCTTCAATCAACACAATAACAATGTCCAATCTATTTTCTAGATTTTTTGGCCATGGTCTGCAGGTTTTTATGCCTGAAGTTTCGTATATTACTGCGGTAGCAATTATCAAAGATGATGAGGTAACAGTCGAAGTGCAGTAGAAACTACAATGCTGGTTTCATATTATCATAGATGGGTGTGGCTTCGTTACTCCTAATTGTATTACCTGACCTTGTTTGTGTACATTTAAGGACAGGTAGCCAGATTTTGTTGATGTTCATTGCCTCTTTCTTTCTATTGAAATTATTCCATGTGTTTGTGAATGTCTATTGCCTATCGATATATTCTCGGATAGTAATTTTGACTACAACTACTTTCAAGGACACCATACGGCTAATTGGTTAAGTATTTCCAGCAGGTAACCGCCCTCTTCGCTCATTGTTTATCATCAACTTATTTCCAGTGGACTGGTGTTTTATACGAACAAACGGATGGTACTGCAATGACAGTCCATCAAGTCCGGCGGTGGCGAACTTTCATATGGGAAATTTCGAGAAACCCAAGGAACTATAATAGCCGTCTTGGATGATCTTGTTAACAGACGTGAAGATGGTACATTGAGCCATAGAGTGTACAGGAAATCAACACACAGGCAGGTACCTGAATGAAAACTCTATCCACAACTGAAGAGAGGAGTAAATAAAACGTTGGTTGAGAGGGTCTGACGCATTTGTGAACCTGAGAGTCTTCCTGAGAAACTAAATCACCTAATTACCTAAAAAAAAGATCTTCAAAGGGAATTGTTACAGCGAAATAGATTTCGAGCAGACCTGTTAACTGAAAAGTTTTCCTTCCCTAGGTTGAAAATGTTTAGGCCTACAAAAGTTATCAGAAAAAATCTAAGAACTTTCAGCAACACTCGGGGTATACTGGATTCCTTTTGGCTGCTGGGTATACCCGTTTCTCTGAACACAAGAGAAATTGTTGCATCGGAGAAACCGACAAATCAGGTAGTACATGCTCTCGAAAAAGACAGTCACAATAATAATAATAACGATCATAACATGATGACATAGAACAAGTCAATAATAAAAATAAGAAATAAATATGATAGATAAAATAAAATAAAATCTAAATATATAGATAGAAAACCTCGTTGATTGAAACAGTCGATTATATGATTGAAATCGTAGGTACATCAAAATTAAATATAATTATGAACTGAGCCACATTTGGTAATTGTGTTGGCATTCTAATCAACCCATGAAGGCATTAACCAATTATACATTACATAGGATCTTTCAAATACTCATCAACAGAGTAATAGGCTTTGTCAATTAAAAGTTGTTTCACATACTGTTTTGAATTCTCTCAGCTACATTTCTCTAACATGAGTTGACAATTTATTAAATAATTTGATACCCATAAAAAAAGGACTTGATTCGGTCCTGGCCAGTCTGTGAATTGATATTTCCAATAAAGTTAAATTTCTTGTACTGTATTTGTTTCTATTCAATGGAGCAAACAATTGTCTGTCTGATTTTACAAACATCAGTATCTGGTAAATATAAATGCAAGGTAAGGTTAAAATTTTTAGGATTTTGAATAGTTCTTTACAGCTCGTGCGTCTACTTACTCTTTGAATAATTCTGACAGCTCTCTTTTGTAAAATAAACACCCTTTGCGCTTCACTAGATAAACCCCAAGCTGATATGCTATATGAGATTAAAGAGTGAACATGTGCATTATCTCATTCAAAGACACGAGGGTTGCCTTTTATATTTCGGGATCAGAGAACAAAAACAAATATTAATAATCGAAAATCACTTTATTGTTTTTCAAAATGTTTCCCATGAAGATCTATACACTTTTGTATGCGTTTGAACCAATTGTCGAAGCACTTTTGCCACTCTGATTGAGGTATCTCTAAAACATGCATTCTGAATGCAGCAACCGCTTCTTCAAGTGTCGAAAAACGTTGACCTCTCAGTTTTTTACGTGAGGGTCAGTGCGGTGCCAAGTCAGGACTATACGGCAGATGACTCATCAAATCGATGTTGTGGGTGCTCAAAAATGCAGTTGTTTGAGTCGATGTGTGAGAGCTCGCATTGTCGTGGTGAAGAGTGATTCGTCTTCGGCGGTTGGTTTTCCTGATTTCTTGGAAGATAACTGGCAAACAAATGTTTGTGTACCACTCAGAATTGACTGTTCTTCTTCTTTAGTTGTTTCAGGGATTTCAAATCATTTTATATAGTAGACAATGGGAGTCCGAACTAGTGAAATTCATCAGTTTTAAGTACGTATAAGCTCAAAATGTCCAATTTTTCGATAGAGCTGTCAGCTGCCAGATTGCAACACTAGGGTTGCCAAATCCCGAAACATAAAAGGCAATCCTCGTACAGTAATACTCAATAAAACAATAAAACTCAAAATTACTAACCAAGAATATTTTGAGAGGAAATAGAAATTCAGAAACACAGGGATAATTTCAATAGGAGGGAAGAGACAATGAACATCAATAAAATCTGGATACATGTCCCTAATTATACACAAACAAGGTCAGGTAATCCAATTAAGAGAAACGAAGCCAAGCGCACGGAGACAAATAGTTCCGGAATTGTACTTTTAGCGTTGAGAAAGAACTTCGACCGTTACCACATCGCCTTTGATAATATCTACCGCAGTAGTAGACAAAACGTAAGGCGGTATAAATTTTTTTGAAGGTGTTTGACAATGTTTCATGGTGCATTTCATCAGATTGGACTTCCATTGCTAATATGATATAAATCTATTTGAAATCCCTGAAAAAATCTGTAAAAAATGAAAAAGATAAGCTAAAAAACAATTGTATTAAGCAAAAAACTGAAATTACAATGAAATAACATACAAGCAACAGCCAAAAAAGAACCCCAAAAAAATTTGAACTATCAACACGAGCTGAAAAATTAAAAAAAAATATTAACAAAAAATGAAAATTGAAAATATAAAATTGAAAGATTCCAAACCAAGTTACTTCACAGCGTTTCGATTGTTAGTATCCACAATCGTCTTCGGGTTATCACCCGAAGTTATCACCCGAAGACAATTGTTGATACTAACAATCGAAACATCGTGAAGTAACTTGGTATGAAATTTTTTAATTTTATATTTTCAATTTTCATTTCTTGTTAATAATTTTTAATTTCTTCAACTCGTGTTAATAGTTTAATTCTTTGATTTCTTGATCGTTGCTTGTATTTTATTTCATTGTAATTTCAGTTTTTTGCTTTATTAAATTTTATTTTAGAGATTCAGGGATTTAAAATCAATTTATATCATATTAGACAATGGAAGTCCGAACTGATGAAATTACTCCAAATTGTTCCTAAACTGATTTTAGCATACCTACCTACTACTATTTTAGGATTATGTAGCATTGTGTTTCTAGTCACATGATCATACTTTGATGTTCTCTGTATACTCTCCGGGAGTGAGTTTGTGAACACAACCCAAGAACGGATATGGAAAAATTTTTGCATCAAATTTCCAATTTCACTGAAAATATTCGGTTCAGTTTCGAGCCCCGACCGATGGGTTTCCACTTATTCTTCTATAAATAATGAAATGTGATCATAATTTTCAAAACATTCCTTATACAGTTCATGTTTCTTCTATAAACTGCACCTAAAGTTATTCCAGGTTGTAGACGATTGGGAGAAGAGAGACGCGGTTTCAGCATAAGTACTGGCTCAAATGCGAGAGTTGCAAAATTTCTGCAGGATACCTCCAAGTCAGAGTTACGGTTATATGGAGCAGAGAGAGAAAAATTGGGACAGTTGGCAGCTTTGTATTCATTGGATTTGTGGTTCGAAAGTCCAAGCTCTTCGTTGCTACGAAAGACAGACAAAACTCCTGCTATGCAGCCTACTCAGAGGCACCATTCAGGTTTGAATGCAATACATAAGAGAATCAGAACACATAATAACCATGTAGTACAATGAGTTTCTTTGTCTATTCATCTGTATTGCTCAGATATGTGTTCAATAGCTGAAAATCATTTGTAACAAATGAACTGTAATTCCGGATATTCATGATAGGGTTTCATTGAATTTTTATACAGTGATATTGATTGGTACAACACCAGCAAATGCATTTTGAGTGAATTATACGAAGCATAATGTCAGTACAAATTGATCAAATAAAAATATTGCGGTAATTAATTTTAATCCTTCGTTATTAATCCATTACACTTGATTGAACTTTGTGAACAGTTTCCGTTTTGATTTTATATTTCTGTACTGTTTGTACAACAGAAAGGAATAACGTTTTTAGTTGATAATGATATGTATTGGTTTTGTATAACTCGGTAAACCCAGAGGAGTCTGTACGGGTATAGAATATTCATTATTAGATTTCAGTAGATTTGTACATAATTGATGTTATCTTTGATGTTAGTAATGATAATGGGTAGGGTATATTGTGAATGGGTGGGGTATAGTGTGAAATTTCCATTTGTTACTTTTTGGACCCGTATTCCATGTAGGGTCACAATCGGAAGAGTGATCTCACTAGCATTTGTAAATTCCCATTTAACCCATTTTGTCTCACTCACATAGTAATCCAATGTGTTGGTATCCGGTGTTTCTAACAATGCAATGCCCTAGTAATGTTATCAAACTTGTTTATTCTATTTTCATATATAGTACATATTGTTGCCGCTTTCCATTCTTCTGGTACCTTTTCCTCTTCCCAAATCTTTTTTATGGGGGCGTGTATTTGCCCCCATCATTTCATGCACTCCTCCTGCTTTCATCATTTTCGCTGTTATTGGTGTTGCTCCTGTATTTTTTATATTTTTGTCTTTTAATAATTCTTGGAAGTATGTTTTTCATATAAGTTACTGTTTATAATACTTAACCCTCCAAAGTTCTCTGTTACCAATACCAAAATTGCTAAGTGAATAAGTTCTGAAATAATGTGGTCTTCAAGTTTCATTATATAACTTTCTCTACAGATTTGAAAAAGTGTTATTATTCTATTCTATTCATAAAAAAATATGAATGATATGGAGGAATAATAAAAAATATAAATATTTTGTTACATACTGTAATATATAAAAAACCAAAAGTGATATCACTATTTCAAGAATAGCAGGGTTAGGCAATAATAGAAATGTAAAATGTTCCTTTTCACCTAAAACCAGTGGGTCCAAAATCAGTTTGAGACAATGATTGCTAGATCACTTTGCTAATTGTTGCTTCATTTTTGAAAAGAATGTGCTGCACGGACCCATGACCGCTAGTTTGGAAAAAAACTAAAAAATCGATTGATATTCACCATATACTCTTTGATGATACAAACATAGAGATTTTAATATTCATTGAATGAAAGTAATTTTTTGTGGAGATAAACCAGTTTTTTATCGGCCTTTTTTGGGTATTTTCATATTTTTCAGATTGTGGAAGGTGAAACTACCCAAAAAAGCTCGATAAAAATCCTAATATTCCTTTTAGCCAACTAAAATTTATTTGGTAAACTACTTCAATAACGTGATATGTTGATGGGGATACAATTTTTCGTTTTCTATAAAAACTATTGATTATTAAGTTGATGTTTTAGTAGATTAGCACTTGATCCTTTGACACGAATAGACACCTTTTTTGAATTCTTAGAAGGTGTCAGTGACTGTGTAACTGAAAAATTTAGTGTTCGTTTTTATGATTAATCTGAATTCATAGTTTAGCCCGTATTAAATCTTGTATATAGTATTTGTTGTTATGTCTAATAATTGTCGAATAAAGGGTTTTGAATCTAATTATGTTTGACTTTGGAGATCCTGTCCATTTTGTGTTTGTTGCAGGCAACTATTGCACAGTGTATGTGTGCTACTGGGACGAGCCTTGAAGTCAATCCTTAAAGCTATAAGATGAAGATGTCAACTATTTTTTCTCAATAATAATATTCTGACTTGATGTGGAATTTTTAACTGAACGACTGCTTCACAAATACATGTAGAGAAAAGTACATCAACTTTAATAATGTGAATATACTTGTCCCAAATTAACTGTAGGAACTGACAATGAGAGAGTTGAAACTATCATGATGATTTCCTGCTATTTCAATTATTTTACAAGCAAATTAGAAGTATATACACAAAATGGGCAAATAACTGAGAATTTCAACGCTAACTTCTTTGATTAGACAAATAATGAAAACCAGGTGCTGAAAGATATAAAGTTCTTTCTATCCACTAACTAGTTTGGATTCAGAGGAAATACTCAATAAGCAGTCCCAGTATTAACAACAAAAATTACTGACGCCCTGAATGAGAACAGTCCGTGTTTATGTATATTTGATGTGTCAAAAGTTTTTGACTTGCAGTCACTGGAATTTTTTCATAATTACTTGTATGTAGGATGTCAAACAGGGAGTGTGGATGAAGTATTAAGTGGTGGGAAAGTAATTGGTTATGGAATATTTCAGGGGAAAGTACTAGATTCCATACTATTCAATATATACATGTTTTCGCTGAAGTGTTCAGGGAAAATAATTTGATTTTTCAAAAATCTTTGTAGGAATTAGAAAAATAAAACGGTTATTCTGTCGAATGGTCGCTTAAAAACTAATACTTTATCCGCCAAATTAACAATTAAACTTTTTTGACTATGTAATAGAAACTTTCTCCTGACATTCGATTTGAAATTGTTGCAAGATTCCATTTTGAAGTGTTTTATCAAGTTCGGTATAATTTCTGAAAACGTTTTTTATGCATAAGGCTTGTATTGAATATTTCATGCTATTTTGCTATTTACTGAGCTGATTACTGAAGCAATAGTCTAAATTGATTAGAGCCTTGTATGCCAACGACTCGGATATTTATTTGTTTCCTTCATTAGTTTTTGGCATCCTACTATTTATATGAGTTGGAAGTTGAAAAATGTATTTCAACAAAATATATTCATATCTTTATGTTACATCATAGGATTACACATTATGCTACCCCAGTCACCTAATTTAGAAATTTTTAATTGCACACTACCACAGTGCATGAACCTATTGGTTCAACTTGTACGAATATTAAAATTGCCAGTCTCAATTCAGAAAATGAGAATCTGTTACAATCTTTATTTAAAAAAATGTGGTGTTTTGATTATTCCTTATGATTATTCATTTTTAACATTTCTAAACTTAATTTTTTGGAAGTCTCCCTTCTGAAAATATTCCAGGGAGGACAGATTTGTTGAATGTGAAAGTAAAGACTTGTTTGATAGTTCAAAATCTTATTTTTCATCGTCAAATCCGGTGGATGTCTTTTAGATTATTTTGAGATAATATAGATAATTATATAAACATCTGTTTGTGATAAAAATATATATCTATATACATACAATGTGACACACTCAAGATGAAGACACATCTCTATTTTAGTAATTTTGGAAACAGATTATTTGATTTTTCGTACAGGTATAGACCTTCATGGGCCGAACTTTTCGCAATTCATAGTCCTAGTGACAGCCTTAAACCTAACCTAGGTCAAATTTTTTGATAATTTGCTTCGCGATGATGAAACCGAAATAAGTTATTTGAAAAAGTTGTTTGGAAATCGATTTTGAGCCTACATACCGAATTCCAGCACAAAAGTCGAATTTCATATTCATAATTAACAGTTTCAAATAATAAGCTGCGAAAATAATAAATTCGTTTTAATGTAGGAATAAGAATGAAAAACTTAATATTCATTATGAATTCATTTATTTCGTTGATATTGACTATTTTATCATTTCCTAGGCTTCTTATTCGGAACCATCAATTGAAAATCTCGGACTTGAATATAAAAATAGAATTTTCCGTTGAAATTCTTAATGTAACCTCAAATTCGATTTCTAAGCACATTTTTCAAATAACTAAAGCGGCCTATACACGTTACGATTTTTCGTAATGCATGTTGAACTGCAAATTGTAAAGAATGGCATGCAGTACAGCCATCTTTCATCCACAGCTCGTACTGCCAAGGTTTAGATTTCAATCTTTCAAAAGTCACGTCTGAAGGAAGTTCTTATATTGTTTATTATCTTTTTCATTATTTCCTGAGATTCGTTTGGGAACAACTCATTAAATTTTGCAAATGAAATATCGTAACTTGAATTTCTTTTTATTTGATTCGAGTAATTTTTTGATTTTACATCCCACAGGCAGCTGTTTTCTTTACATACAGCAGAACGTCTTATTTTTCATATCCATTATAATGATATGAAATATATAAAATATTTTCCCTAAATGATTTGCTTTAAACGATATAAAATCGTAACTGCCGCAGCAATAAGCTCCACACGTTACAATTTGTCTACAACTCCACCCCAGACACGACCGTTGATACGATATTTTATGGAAGCTCCGTATTGTGAACAATTCGACGACTGCATACTGCAAATCACCCAATTTGCCTACACACGTTATGATTTATCGTTGCTGCGGCAATACCGATGCATATCGTACTGCAAGCAGTACGAAAAATCGTAACGTGTGTAGGCCGTTTTATTTCGGTATTTCAATGCGAAGCAAAATATCGAGAATTTGCTTTTTTCACGGGATCGCAGTAGGCTAGGTTTGGGGCCGTCACTCGGGCTAAGTATTGCAAAAAGTGCAGCCTATGAAAGTCTACGCCTGTACCAAAAATTTAATCTCTGCTTTCAACAATGACTAAAATACATTTCTAACTAGAAAGGTGTACAAACCTTAGTAAATTTTAACGCTTCATAAAGCTCAAATCAGACCTTTGAAATATCACTCTAACATTCAACATACCTGGAGGCTGTAAGATAATGCCCAAAAGAAGTATTAGCCTGGACTTGACTGGTTCTAGACTAGAACACCTAAGAAACGTAGGTATGAGTGATTTACACTAGACAGCCGTGTCTATGCAAACTAAGTTCGCAACGGACTACTCTTTTGAATAAATCTGCTTAACGGAAAAACAGATTTAGACAGATTTGAAAAATGCCTTTTATAAACTTTGCAACTGCAATAATTTAATCAACACCTTATTTATTGATATTTCTCGCAATGGGCCAGATTTTTCTTTATAAAAAATTGTCCTTTCTAAAAAAATGCAGTCAATTTACTGAAAGTAAGTGGTCAACAATATGCACCTATTCTGATCGAGGTAAATAGCTTGTGGTCAAATGCAAGCAATTGACCTAGATAAGACTACAAGATGCCAAGATGTGATGAGGAAGTGCAATAAGAATTCAAGAGTGACGCAATAGTAGATATAGGTACCAATAACTGAGTGAAAGCAAAATTAATCTCTTTGTGAGCGATAATCGGATGAATTCTACTGAATGATCAGTGAACCAGTAAACTCGATAAATAAACAAATGGAAAAAGCGTAAAAACGAGGATCGTAACCAATTCTATTTTACATTGAATTTGAAATCGATAAATTGATAAAATTGCAAGTAACCACCGTTCACTCTCAATTTGTCGCCTAATGAATTCCTATTACATGATTTGAATAAGTGTTTTCATTTTTTCATAATGTTCAGAGGAGGGATTACTATATAAACAAATTAACTAGGAGAAGATTATTTATATTTATTTTACAATCCATTGTCATTGACCAGCCCGTGGATGTTGAACAATTCACGGAAAACCAGCTTCAAGCTGGTCGCCATAACGTTGTTAGTAATTTTTCAAAAAAGTGAATCAAGAGTTGTTTTCTCCGGATTTTCGGTGAGAACGGCTTCAGAGGACCTTAGTGTCGCAGCTGCTGAACCTAGACCTATATTCGAAGAGGTTGCGCTTCCATTAATATCGGAAAAAGATGTAGTTAGTGAGGCAAGTGAAAAAGTGGAAAAAATACTGCAGAAGCCTATGGCGTTCTCTTATAGAAAATCTGTGCCAACGGCACTGCCAGATGCAGAAGTTAAAGAATCTCGTATCGATCAGGTGGACCAGAAACCCGATTCTGTGGATTATTACAAATATCTCAAAAGAGTCGAGTCGGAAAACGAAAATGATGGAGCAAACGAAGAAATTCGCCCAAAGATCCTAACTGATGGCGATAATGTTAATCACGATGAGCATCGAGAAGACAGTGAAGATTTGACAGCTACTCGTAGTCAGTCGAATTTAGAAGACGAAGATGATCATCAAGCCTTAAGAAACGATGAGGCTGAGCGTGACCTGGAAAACGAAAATGAGGATGTGGAATATCAGGTTGAAAACTATGAGGTACAGGAAAAAAGCCACGAAGGCGCAGGAAAAGGACATGGCGGAAAGGGTAAACATGGAGGCAGTAACCATGGTGGTGGCGGGCATGGGGGTGGTGGACATGGAGGAAGCAACCATGGAGGTAGTGGTCATAAAGGAAGTGGCCATGAGGGTGGTGGATCTGGTCATGGAGGAAGTGGCCATGGGGGCGGTAGTCATGGAGGAAGCGGTCATGGAGGTGGCGGTCATGGTGGAGGCGGTCATGGAGGTGGTGGCCATGGGGGCGGTGGTCATGGAGGAAGTGGTCATGGGACTGGTGGTCACGGAGGAAGCAGCCATGGGGGTGGTAGTCATGGAGGTGGTGGAAAAGGCGGGAGCGGTCATGGCGGTGGTGATCATGGCGGAAGTGGTAGTCATGGAGGCGGAGGTCATGAAGGAGGCGATTCTGGTAAGTTGATCTCTCAACTCTCAGACAAATATTCATCAATGATAGAAAAATGTAAATTGATGTAATGAAACTATTGAAGCGGCATAATTGGACTTCAATATTATTATTTTTTATTACCATTGCTTCAGTAAACTTTTAAGAAAGAGTTTTGTTTACATAAAATGAAAGGGTATTAATAATTATAATTAATCTTGTATTGAAAAAATATGTTTTGATCATAGTTGCTGAAATTGATATATGGCAGGTTACCTACTAGATATGAATATTACTGGAGTTTTTTCCCCAACACCAAATCGTATTTTTAACACCCCAACACGTGTTTCGATTACCAAGTGATCATCTTAAAGGAGAAGTACATAAGTACTAGATATGCATTGAATATTATAAAAATGATATTGATCTTGGACACGCATTTCAAATAATGCAGGTGACGAAATCTTTTCTTTATTGAATTCAATAAATGTAGAATGTCGTCACAATAATTAACAAGTGAACTCCAGCTTTCAGAGTAAACGGGGTGTAAACGGGTTGTAAGTCATTTTCAATTTTATTCAGCAATACATTCCGTTAAATTGTAGACATTCGAAAATACCGAAAAAAAATTTCCTCATCATCAACTAAATGTGTAAATAATGTTCAATATTCTCTTTCACTTTCTCGATATCTTGAAGAGTCGTGAATTCAATAGCATCGGGTCTTTTTTTGAGTTTCTGCTTCTTCATCGTCCAAAATGATACCTACCAATGCCAATTGTCGAGCAGATAATCTCATAGCCATATTCGTGTTGCTTACGGGCTTAGACTACGGTTGATCCATTACGGTGGGCAAGGTAGACCGTGTCGTGTTATTTTCCGTGTCTGATACGGTCCTAGCACGGCCATGGTTGGTACGGTATATAGTGGGCACAGACCTTTAAACCCAAGGAACATAAAGATTCGGAGAAAAAATGCATGTGAAGAAAATAAAAAAAAGTCATAATTGACTACAGTGTTCAGGTAAACATTTTTCAAAAATGATTTTTTCAACACCGGATGACAATGAACTATAATAGTACATGTTACCTGCCAATTTTTTTGGGTAAGCAATTTTAAATCCGAAACGAACGCATATTTCCTTAGAGCCGACATTTATAACGAAAAAAAAACAATGTAAAGCTATTTCTCTAGTTAGGAATTTTAAACAACCCTGTATATTTTTTACAATATTTGATGGAATTTAAAATAATTTTTTCAACGATATAACTAAAATGACCATTTTCCAATTTCAAGAACTTGATGTCGTGAAAAACAAATAATGAATATACTAACTCGTCACATCATTCCAACTGAAATTACTCAATTTATTCAAGTGGATCTGATAATAGTTTTTTGAGGAGAGAGCTGAATGTTCTTGAATATTCTTCCGGTACCGGCTCTTGGAGCGCCTTAATAATTTTCCTGTAGTGCTTCTGTTCAGTCTTAAAAAAATAATTCAATTGGTTTATATACACTTTGGATTAACCCAAAATCGTTGCGTTTATTTAAGGAACATATTTCACTAAAAAATTAAAAAATAATAGGTGATGGGACATTTGAGAAGGGTGGTGGCAAGGAATACCATTCCGAACACGAGGGATCCCACGGAGAAAAGAGCGAAAAGGGTTATGAAGGACATCATCATGATGAAAAAGGAAGTGAAGGGTATCACGACAAAGAACATCACCAAAGCGAACACGAAGAAATGGGAGGTCTTAAAGAGGAACACCACCATGAAGATGGATACGATAGCGAGAAGCATCATGAAGAAAAAGGGGAGAAGGGATCAAAGGTGACTATTGAATTACTATTATTAGATAGAAACTATTCATACTTCAGTTTTTTCACATCTGCTCTATTCTCCAACTATTTTTTTGATATATTCACATGACATTTTACAACTTTTCTTTTAACTGAATTCCAACTGAAGCCAAACTGACTTAACATGTGGTTGGAAGTTAATCTTCATATTTATCTATGCTTCAAGGAAAAAATGCTAATGAATGTTTATTTATAAAAACCAGAAAATAACAGTATTTACTCATTCAAATGATTGGTGAGTGTGACTGATTTTAGTTATACTCATTTACTCACCGCCATTTTGAACGTGGGACCGATTCTTACTCATCTGGAATAATATATCGTCTGACGAATGCTAACTAGGAACCCGCCGTTATCCTTACGGTTATCATTTGTATGGGAACGACAACTGATTAACGGAAAACCTCATTTCAATTCAACTCATATATTGGACTGCTTTGATAATTTGTTTTTCCGGTAACCAGCTGTCTAACCAATATTCCTTGATAATGTCAGATATTCTTTTATTATTGATTTGATTAACTTTTACAGTTTCACGAAGAAGGTGAACATTCCAAAGGACACAGTACAAAGGGAGAACATAATATACGTAAAAAGGAAGAGTATGAGAAGAAACAGGAATTTTTCGATGAAGACGGCGATGAAGGAGATTTTGAAAAACATGGAGAATATTACCATGAAGATGGCTTCCATAAAGTAAGTACATCAAGCAAGAAAAGATTGATGGGATAATAAGTCTCATAGTACGTTTACAAGTTCATTCATTATAATGCAGTAAAATCTGCCCCGATTCGTGAATATATAAAAATCGTGTAAATATTGCATTCTTATCAACATCAGGTTTTCAGAGTTTGGCAAATCCGCACTATTGCCGTCTGACCTGAAAGATCACACACCATATAAACTAATCGGCTTCGTTAAGAAGCTGGGTTTGTTTGTTCGAGTTTCAATATGTGTGAGCTACAATAAACCTTTGCGAGTTTGACCTGACCTACCCTCCATTCTGCCGACAGTTTTATATTACAATTGAGTCCAGCAATGTATTCATAGTACAGCATAGCACTACTAATGAAACCTAAGGCGGGTCGAAACTACGCTGTCTGGTGTTGAATCACGATTGCTTTGTTTTTGCTGCCCTTTAAGGACGGTCGAGTACAGCAATACAATCATGGCACAGCCTAGCACCACAAATATCCAGTCGGAACAACACGTTCACGATTATTTTATTTTTGGACTCCAACTGGTTGCCTCGCAGTGAAACCTGAAGAGGATCGACGTCTAAGCTTTGCTTAACTGCCATCGCCTCTACTTAATACGTGTTTACTTGAAATACCTCCAATATAAATCAAGAGTATAACACAGAAACATTTCTCTATAATTTTTTTTTCATGATTCGATATTTCAACTACCCAAATGTTATGTTTTAGGGAGGTTTTGAAAAAGGCGGAACTAAAAATGGAGGAGAAGAAAAAAGTCTCTACGGAAAGAAGCACCATCACGAAAAAGGAGGGCACTATAAGGATGTTAAAGGACACAAAGATGGTTCAGGTCATGACTCACATCATGATCACGTTACCAAGCATGGAAAGAAAGAAACTCATTCCGGAGGCAAGAAATGGGGGTACAAAGAAGGTACTGGTGATGGTGGACATGGGGGAGGAGGAGGGGGGCATAAACATGGGGGAGGAGGAGGTGGACATGGGCATGCCGGTGGAGGTAGTGGACATGGGGGAGGAGGAAGTGAACATGGGCATGCCGGTGGAGGTAGTGGACATGGCCAAGGAGGAGGTAGTGGTCATGGTAAAGGAGGTGGCGGACATGGACATGGCGGAGGCCATGAGGGTGGTAGTGGAGGAAATCATGGTGGACACAAGCACAGCTCAGGAGGAAGTGGAAAATATTCCGTACATGAAAAAGCTGAAGAAAACATACCAAGTGAACATATTGAATCTCTTACTTCTCTCGATGATTACAAAGATGACATTCAAGAAGATCTCTTGGATGATGTAAATGAAAGTGAAATAAATACCGAAGAGAAAGAAAGTGGTAGTATTCAAGAGGAGGCCGAACCAAATTCTGTTAAAGAAGAAAGTACCGCTCTTGAAAGCAACGATGAAGATTATGAGGAGGGACATGAAAGCAGAGGTTCGAAAGTGATAGCTGAGAGAAATCACTTGAAGAAATTGAAACCAGATGCTTCAGATAATGAAGCACTTGAAGATGAGAATTTTGAAGTGAGTGATGCAGGTGAAATAACGAAAGATGAGCAAGGTGCCTATAAAAAATATCTTCTCGGTGATTATAAAACTCGCAGAAGCCCAAACGTCCAAAGAAGTAAACCTAAGTCAATAAGCAACTCTGAACAGGAGGCAGAATCTCGAATTGGTAAGATATTACTATCCAATGACGTTTTCTCTTGAAATATGTTCAAAATATGATTGAAACAGGAATGCTTTTATTTATGATACCAGAAGTGTTCCTCATTTTGTGCTTAAACAGTTAAAAATAAGAGAATGACACGATGAGTATATGAAATTAGGAAATTTCCAAATGTCTTATCTAAAATTCAAGTAGTCTATGATGTAAATATATTCTAGTCAGAGCCGAATTTGAATAAAATATTTTTTATTTACTTGACATATTTGTGCGAACCTCAATTTGGTAGAGAAATGAATTCAAAAGGACCTACAATATTTTCAAAGAATTCTATATATTTTTGAAAATATTATAAATCATAAAATAATTGTTATTATATGATTATATTCAAACGGACAGGAATGCATTTATATTATCACATTGACAGTGTTTATATTGTGAATAGCTGCTATTTCTTAATGTTTTAACAGATTTCTGATGTTTTAACACATTTATCTTCTTCCTTAGTTGCACAAGCTGATAAGAACCCGGATAGTCAGGCTTCCGATGGTCTTGTTCAATACACTAAAGGCAAAATGGATCCCATAATTGTAGCAGACTTCAATAACGATGCTGATATTTGAAAACTGAAATTGTTTTATAACAAGTGACCAAAATGTGATGATATTGTTTTATGTTATTTATGTTTGTAATATTCGATATTGTTTATAAAAATAAATAAAAACACCTTGTTTAGTATTTAATATGATCTTCATAGTGTATGCTGATAAAACTACCTAAGATGGTAGGTAGTTTTAGTAACCTCCTGATGATGCTAATTTGTTTAGCGAAACGTGAGTGGAGAGACAGCATTTTTGTCCTGGCAAGAGAAAAGTGTTTTTAATAGATTCATTTGACGCCTGAGGTTCTAAATTTCACTTATCTTACAGTGGATACATAAGGAAAATGAATATAAGAAGCATAGCATACGTTTCCAGTAACTTCTGGGTTCATTTACACAATTACCAATAATATATGTTTATTACGGCTTTTTTTCAGATGTGTATTTAGCAACCAGCGGAGTTCCGCAAGGATCCAATATTGGTCCCTTATTGTTTTTAATATTTATTAATGATCCGTGCAACTCAATAACTTGTAATAAGTTAATTTTTGCTGATAATTTGAAACTGTATACATCTATAAACAGTTTAGATGATTGTAACATTATGGAAAAGGAGATTGATCTTTTACAAAATTGGTGTCTCAAGAATCGCCTCCATTTGAATATATCTAAATGAAAAATTGTTACATTCAGTAGAAAACTTAATACACTAGAATTTCCTTACCACATTATATTTTAAAGAGCTGAGAATATTAGGGATCTAGGAATCTATAATTATAATAAGGAACTGCAAACATTTTCATAATATGCTAACCTTGACCTCTCTGTATTTCAGTTTGGTGAGGCCAAAACTAGAATATGGTTCATTATATGGAATCCCATATACCATCAATACACATCAGCAATTGATAGAGTCCAAAAGAAGTTTTTAAAATTTCTTACTTTTAGAATGACCGGAACTTATCCTCCAAGAAATTGTGATTACCCTGATCTGCTATGCAGATTTGACATTGTAGCCTTAGAAAAAAGAAGAAATCGGCATCTGTTTTATTTCTATATAAGCTATTGAATGGCAAATTGGATTGTCCTGTATTATTATCAGAAATTGATATCTTTGTTTCAAGAATATCTTCTAGGCACATCAATACTTTTTTATGCAAAAAGATCTTATATCAAAAACCTAGTTGATTTCAAGATGTATTTTTGTCCGAACCTAAAAAAAATTAATAATAATAATTTATCAAGCACAACCATTAGTTGTTTCAAAAGTTTTGTCCGTTTGTAATATTTCAGTGAATACTTATTCATTTTAATAGGAATAAGAGACATTTGAATCTGTGCATCTAATAAAAGTCGATTAATCCCGTCTGCATGAAAATTAAGAGCTAGGGATTTGATGAAGTCGACGACGTTTATGCCTGGTTCTGATTGGCAACGGTTCTACCGGTAAGAAACTTATCAAAGTGTTTGAAAAAATGGTGGTCAGTTAGCGAGAGATCTGGGGAGTATAGTGGGCGAGGCAGACCTTCGATACCCAATTTGCTTAATTTTTGGACGGTGATTTGTCTAACGTGCGGACAGGCGTTGTCGTGGAGTGGCATCGAACCTCTTTTGTTGACCAGTGCCGGCTGCTGCTATTTTTGGTACATATCTTCGATTTCCTCACGATAAGTCTCTGCTGTGATGGTTTGGCCTGTTTGCAGAAGGTTATAGTGAATCACACCCAGCCGCTGACCACCATACAGTAACCAACAATAGGTTACCATAGGAGGAAACAGCTCACCATATTTAAATCTGATATGTGGAGTGCCACAGGGTTCTATTTTAGGACCCCTTTTGTTTGCTATCTACACATCTCAACTTGCAAAATGTTTAAAATTTTGTAATACACATTTGTATGCAGATGATTATAATTTCTCACCTGAAATGATAGATATAATGCGTGTACTCAAATCAAAAGTCACTTAAAATTATTTGTGAAAATTGCTTCTGATCACTGCCTAAATATTAATTGTAGTAGATCCAATGTTATTGTTTTCGGACCTGAAGGCTCTAGAAATGATATTTGCAAATCTGTGACAGTAGAAGTGAATGATCATGTACTTGGGGTTGTTCCAGAAGCCAAAAGCCTGGGCATCATTTTAGATAAAGACTTGAAATTCGAAAGTTAGGTTAATCAGTTTATTAGGCGTGCATATTATTCGCTTAAAATTATATATAGACACCGAAATTTCCTACCCATGAAGGTGAAGGCAAATTTGTGTGATTTGTTAGTTTTATCTATATTCAATTATGCTGATGTTTTGTATGGTCCATGTTTAACCAACAAATTCAAGAAAAAGATACAAAAAGTTCAGAATTCCTGCTCATGGTTAATTTTTTGTATTAGAAGAGAAATAATATCACATAAACTGAAGGATGCCAGCTGAACGATAGGAGAGTGTTACATGCTGCAACTTTGTTTCACAAAATAAATAATAGCAAAGTGCCGTCTTACTTACACCGGATGAATACTTTTAGAACTGATGTGCAAAAAATTAGTGTGAGGTATAAAGGCCGACTAACTCCGCCATCCTTTCGCACAAAGTTCTTTAGGAGTTTCATCTACCAGATTTGTGCAATTTATAATGACATTCCCGAGCCCATGAAACGAGATGACTTCAATCATTTTAATATCAATTTCAAACGATTCTTATTATCTTCAAACTATTAACGACCCAATAGCTACTTACCTATTACAAATCTATAAATAGTCATAATATTTTAAAATAATTAAAATCCTTTTTGTTTATTCATTTGCGTACTAGGCGACATTTTTGAGGTTGAGTGGAAGAGCAATTGAATGATGACTTATCATGCAAATTGAAGTTCGCCTTTTATCCTCATATAATAAATGAACTGTACCTAATTCATTTGCTTTTAATGTATTAGGAGATAATAAAGACGAAATTATTATTATTATACATGACGATCCGATCCCAAAAAGGATCGTTTTGATTGCGCAAAAGCAAACAAGAACAGACCTCGAATCGTGACATTTTCTGTTGATCGTTTAAATATTTGGGCATCCACTTTTCAAGCTTTGTGTCCTTTCCAATTCGTTTCAAACCATCAAAAACCGCATGGAAGCTGAAGCCCAGTTCTACCGCCATTAGATTCACAGTTTTTGATAGGCCAGTATCCACCAGGGTCCTCAAATCCTCGTCCTGGACTACTTTTGAAATTGAGTTCAACTGAGAACAACAATCATTCATGTCATCATAAGCTTCCCTGAACAGGGTAAATCCTGGCGATCAAGTGTGCACCTCTCGAATCAGTTGTCAGATAATAATGATTAGTATTTTTTATTTTTTCTTCATTTTAAAAATTTCTGTCATGTTTCAACATAACCTTTCTTTATTCATCTGTAATCACAATCCATCGAATACATCAATAAATTCATAGTCCTGTGATTCATTGATAAATTTTATGTTTCTTATGATGCACTGTTTGGAACCTTTGGTGTAGTAATGAATATTACTGAAGATTTTTCCCAACACCAAATCGTTATTTTCAACAACTTGACACGTGTTTCGATCACCAAGTGATCATCTTCAAAGAGGAAGATTAAAACTGGTTGATGATCACCAAGTGATCATCTTCAAAGAGGTGATTAAAACATGTGTCGAGGTGTTGAAAATATCGATTTGGTGTTAGGAAAAAACTCCAGTGATATAGATTTTATGTTTATTTCAAAAACTTGCCTGAACGTTAAGAAAAGATTATTATGAAACATTGTACAAATAAAAAATGAACAAAAGGTGTCAATAATGTTTATTTTTATTATAAAAAATTCGTGGTACATAAACTTTCATGCGTGAAGGTATACATTCAGATTCTTATTTGTTAACAAATAAATATAACAATAATAATCAAAATGTTGGTAAGGCATAGCTTGAAGTGATAATCTTTTTTATTAGGCAATATATTGATGAGGAATCGTTCATTTAAAGCAATATTTTATGAATTTGTGATTTTTTATTTGTGTTGACAAATTGAAAAAATTTGACTTGTTTAAATAGCAATTGAAAATTGAGCTGAGACTTTGAAAAATTCTGAGATTCATATAAAGTAGATAACCACTTTCTGAGATTGCCATAAAAAGTCGGTAGGGTGAAAAGATGAGTATTTGAAGTAATTGTTATTGTGTGCATGAACCTTGTTCAAAATATTTTCAAGACCAGAATGCCTTGAATCACTTCTGAATGGTAGTTATAAAATCAGTATTACTTTCGTTAGATAATAGAGACATATATGCTAATGAAAACTTGAAACTTGAGTGAGATTTGAATAGTATGAAATATTCCCAACTTGTCACTTTCTTGAAATTTAAACATGTTTTTACATTAAAATAATGATGTCAAACAAATTACTGAATCTGACCAGAAATAAATAGGATTCACGAAAAAATACTCAATTTGAATCACATTTCAAGAATCATCTCAGTTTCCTTCCTGAAATCATTGGAATCTTTAAATATTATTCTTGAAAATACAATTTCAATTTATCTTGAATTGTCTGATGATGACAAAATCTGCCTCTTATCATTATTCCATCTCTGAATCAGTACTGTTGACACCAACTTTCCAATCTCTTCATTTTTTCACCTGGGTATTACCTACAAATAAAACATTCACAAAAACATAGTCAGATATTTTTTCGCTATTTTTTTTCAATACGTGTGTGTTCACATATGTTTTTGAGAGGAGTCTGAGGGAGCTGGTTCATATCGTTCCAATTTATTTCAGTGAAATCAATCACAATCTTCTTGTGCTTTGGTACGAATTGTCTGAAAAAAAAAATCGTTTATGTTTATACTATTCAACATGATCAACATGTTCAAAACTCAGATTGTTGCTGTTCATATTGAAAATGTTTTGAAATTAGTCATTTATATCTTGATGAAGGAGAAAAACACTGCTAAAATTCAATGGAAATATTTGCAAAGTAAAGTTTTGAATGGAACAACATTCCCGTTAAGAATATATTTCCTGATATCTGTGAATGTGACCGGCAGTATGCAAAAATTGTTTCTAGAGGGTGTAAAATGTGATGTCAAATTGAAATAAGAATACAAAATATTTTCATGTACCTAGCCTAGCAGTTTGAAATATACTTAAAACATTTTTTGGGAAAGAAAGTTTTTGGCTTTCTACTACTCCATCTGTTACAAAAAAATGGATGAGAGAATCTTCCAAAGAAAGGAAGGATTAATCAATTTGAAAATAAGTAACTCTATACATGGATGTGTAGATCATACAAAGAAGTAACTTTCAGACACAAACTGAAAGAAAGTCCTCCATTCATTCAAAGTAGAACTCATGTGAATGATATCTGATTCTTATTCCTCCACAAATGTTCGATATACAAACTGAATAGAGAAAAGTATCTTCTGTATAATTCAGTGTTCATATAGAAGTATTTGTTTCGAAAGAATTTTTTCTTTCGTGTAATTCAATGTTTATATGAAAGTAGCTGTTTCAGGAGGACTTTCTTTCAGTTTTTATCTGAAAGTTACTTCTTTGCATGATCTACACATCCAAGTATAGAGTTATTTATTTTCAAATTGATTAATCCTTCCTTTCTTTGGAAGATTCTCTCATTCATTTTTTTGTATCAGATGGAGTAGTAGAAAGCCAAAAACTTTCTTTCCCAAAAAATTAATCACTCCTAAAAATATAACCCTTTCAAATCACTTAAGACATATTCTCATACCTACCAAATACACACAAAAAAACTCACAAAAATTGATAATGCCGTTTCAGAGGATTGCGACCACATACACTGTGACACAAGACCTCAATATATCAGAAATTTCTCATGAAAGGTGATTGTTGAAGAAGATGCTCACCTGTATTTGATTCCGGCTGAATCCAACATACGTTTGGATGCCACTGTGTGTATTTTATGTGAATGTTTGTCAGACATATAAACGATATCTGTTATGCCTGACTGGATTATAACTTTGGCACATTCATTGCATGGAAACAGACCAACATAAAGGGTACAATTCTTCACATCAGCTGAATTTTTATTGAGGATCGCATTTAATTCGGCATGACACACTGAAAATCAAGGAACAAACTTCAATCTATCTGTAGTTGCGCACTATATGTCAGACCTGGATAAAACTGTATTTATGACTTTATGGATTCTTTAAATTCATGTGATTAGTACCTTCCCAACTATTCCTTGAGATAGTTCAGGGTCAGTTTCACCAGTGATGTGTTTGTAGTCTAGTAACTATAGTGAAAACCAGACTGTGAGAACAGGTTGATTATTATTGGGGCATACAGATATGAAAAAAAATTGATGCCACTACTGGAAGGTTGAGTATACTAACCATAAAGGTATTTATTTTCTAAGGAGTTATCTGATTCTTTCGCCCAGGGAAAATCATCATCATGACAACCTTTAGGCATTCCATTATATCCTATTCCTATTATCACATTGTTTTCATTGACTATACATGCTCCAACCTGGGAACACGGATCTTTGCTTCTTTTCGCAGCTAGAAAAGCTGTGGCCATGAAATACTCCTGCCAATCCAGATAGTCTACTCTTTTGGCATTTATGTCCCTGGAATGAAAAATGAATAAAAAAGAACCCAGTTCAATTTGGAAACATACCTGGTTTCTACAGATTCATTCATTTCAAATAGGTCGAAAATAAAAATAATAAATTACAAAATTGAGGAAAACAAAATAACTAGTTGAAAAATAAGGTTAGGAATTTCGTCAGCATGCTTTCCGTCAAATTTTTGTCAATACACAGCAATCAGCTGATCAACAATCAGGGATGCCGTTACTTGACGAGAAAAAAAAATCCCTACTGGAAAAACGACAACCGGCTGTCATCCTGTCTGCTGTCATTTTCCAACATGGCAGAAAGTAGTTCGCGCTACGTTCATGTATCGGAAATTTTCCCGTGTTTTGTGTAAATGTTGTGACTAGAAATTGTGTTAGTGAGTGTTCCAGTGAAAACTTGAACGTTCGCGATGGCGGATTTATCAAAACCCCCTCTTAGTGATATAAAACACCCCGAAGAAGTGGTGAGAATGGCTATGAACGATAGCTTAAAATTTGCAGTTCTAATTGGACTTATTGAAGTTGGACAAGTTTCCAACAAGGAAGTCGTCAACACAGTCCTTCAACTGGTAAGTTCAATTTGAAATGTAAATCATATGCATACTTTCAAAATTTCATAATACTTAGTGCATACTGCATCTAAACAATTAATGTAAACACAGCAATTTTTGCTATGAGAATATGAAATAATGTTTGCTAAGGGTTGAAAACTGAAAAATGTATTTTTGGTGGCGTGGACTTATTTATTTAAAACGTGTTCTCCCAACATTATTTAAATAATTTTGTGTTATCAACCTGTTTAATTTCTTATCTCCTTTCCAACCAGTGGCAACTTAAAACCTTCGGGAGGTGACTAGCACCTATTTTGATATTTGAATTAGTTTGATTTCCTTTTCACTGATTAAAGACATGATGAATTCATTATGGGATGATATGGGTATTATGATATTTGTATTTTTATCCTCAAAATCGATTCCATAATTGTGACAACTAGATTATTCATTGGGAATAAAAACAGAACATGCAAGTTCATATAAAAAATCAGTGTTCAAAGTTATGTGTAATATTTTATATGAAATATCACTCTATTAGGTATTTATATGCATTTTGCTACATATTGCTCAATTGGATATTTTCCGTTTCAATGAGATATTTATCATTATTTAAGTATGCTATTAAGTATTTTAATGAACGTTTTACGTTGGTGTAACATACACATTTTCGGTGAAAATGATTTTGATTTAGGTACTTTCAAAAAATTACTTCTTATTTATTATATTCTGAAATTTTACGTTATTTTGACAAACATCATATATGTACTATCTGAGATTATATTTGATCCCATTTGCAGAACCACTCTGAAATCTAAATTGATTATAATTTTTGAAAAAACTAAATTAAACTAAACCCACAGAAGGCGAACTTGTTGCGTAATTTTCAAGAAGGAAATAAGTAAATATAAAATGCCGATTATAGCTTATCTTTCCACATGTTTTTATCTTTCTATTTTGATCTTCATTAAAGGGAATATTGTGGGTTCTGCCAGCTCAACGTTCAGTTAGCACTAGCACAACCCTCTATATTAAAAAATAGCATCATCATCTCTTTACTTAATCCTAAACGAGCAATAAACAACTGCATTAAACCTGTAAATCCTTTCTTGGACTGTAATATGGAATAGAAAATTAAAAATTGTCATAATTTCTTCGAGTATCGACTTTCCACTTCTTTCCATAGTCAATTTTTTTAAATTTAGACCCGGTGTAGACGGACGTATGATCAACGTACTGCAAATTATGCAGACATCGCGGACGTGGTTAAAATATTTTGTCTCCTAGATATACGCAGATGAACGTCGCATATGTTTCAATAACATAATTTCTAAATTTCAAATTATTTAATTGAAGCCGATTTTACGTTTTTCAGTGGTGATATCGGGTTTTTATTATTATTAATGTAGGTACTCACATGAAAGTCTTGACATTTGCAAATTCTGTCGAATGAAAGTCCTTGTCCAACGCAATAAACTCTACTAGCATTACAAATAACTCTAGGCGAATTATAGCTAGTTGCTTTAATGAATCCTTATTCTATAGTTTACTTTTCTTGTGTTTGATTTTGGTTACTCAAAACTACCTAAATTGGTCGTAAACGATTACAAAATAGAAACCCGAATTGTTGCCAAAATACAAATGATACATCCGCTTTAACTGGTATTTAACTCAACATGGCAGTTGTAGTTTTATTTTATAGAAAGTAAAAATTAATCTATAAACATTAAATATCATAAAACTAACTCCTCTGTTGCCTCAAGTACTACCTACATTTTTCGAGTAATACACAAGTAATAACCATGATGAAGTTATCCACATAAACAAAGTACACTGAGAGAAAAATATTGGACTATTTTTTCCTTGAATGCTTTTGTACACGTAACATCTTTCAATAAAATATGCTCACTTATTAGTTTAGTGAAACAAGTGAAATGTATTATTAGTTGTTCCTGGCCGTTTCTAGATTGAGATAGATTGTGCCGGACATGTTAAAATTCATATCATGGATAATTGAATTAATGCATTATGTTTGACTTTTCCAGGCTGTCTGAGGGGGTGGAATCGGGATGAAGAATTTGGCCAAAAATTCATTATTCTCATTAAACATTTATTTCGTACACCTATACAAATGAGGATGATTGGCGGGGCCATTTCAAGAGCTGTTGCGCTTGATATTTCTAAGACCTTTGACCGTGTGTGACATGAGGGTTTGCTGGTTTTCTGTTTTAAGATATTGTAGCTATTATCTTTATGTGGACGATCATTTCTGTGTATGGCTCTCCATCTTCCTGAAAGAACGTTTCCTGCAAGCGGCGGTCGATGGATATCTCTCGAATACTTTCACTATCAACCAAGAATCCAATATGTTGCTTTGCTGACGACAGCTCACCTGTCTTGTCATTTCATTTGGATTCCAGGACATCGGCTACAGAGGCCCGTCTTCACTGGCAGCAGGAGGTTGCATATCCTTATGAGTATCTAGAAGTGATTTTGAATTGGGGTGAAAGTAACCAAGTTCAATTCAAAGTCACAAAAACCCAGGCATAGGTTTTCTCCAAGAAGATAAATGTCTCTGAACCGGATATAATAATGGTCAGACAATTCCGCATTCTGCTTTGATATGTTTGTTGGGGGTTAAAATGGTCACCAATATGTCTTGGCACAATCATGTCGTTGGAATTGCAAAGGCTGCTTCTCAAAAAATTTGAACACTGTTCCGAACCAGAAAACTATAGACACCTCAGCAACTTTTGATGCTTTATAAAGCTCAGACCTTCTTTGGAGTATTGTTCTCATGTATGGAGCTCCACCTCCAAACATACCCTGAAGTTGCTGGATTCCATCCAGAAAAGAGCCATCCGCCTGATTGGAGACGCGAACATCACGTCCAACCTTGATAGCCTGGAACATCGCAGGAAGGTTGGAGATTTGTCTCTCTTTTATAAATACTTTCACGGGAGGTGTTCAAGTGACTTGGCACATTTGATTCCACCAAGAGCGGTACGTATCAGAAATACGCGACAGACTGTGGCTGCTCATCACTGGAGAATTGCGTTTACATGGAATAAACTTCCAGAGAACGTTTTTCCAAATGGATTCAACCTCCAGCTATTCAAATCCAATGTGAGTCACCACTTTCGCACAGGCACCGTTATGAGAGCGCCTTAATGATAATAATAATAATATGATTTCCTTTCCGGAAACACGAGGATAAGCAATGCATGGAGTCTTCTTCAAAAACATTGGAGACCTTGGCTTATCAAAGCGCCTGACCTTCGCTTTTTTCAGGTTGAGTGGGCTGAAGTCGGAAACTGAGGGGTTCATCATGGCTTGCCAGGATAGTGTCTTCAACACCTTAGTCTACCGCAGTCGCGTGATGGGTATAGAGGTTCCTGACACAAGGTGCAGGGCCTGCCGCGAGGCGCCCGAGATCCTAATGCACTTGCTATCAGCATGTCCAGCTTATGCGGTCTCGGCCTATATCCATTGATATAACGCGGCCCTAAGAGTGCTATATTACCATCTACGGCACTCTTACGGTATTGACGAGACACCGGTGTTGCCCTATGCTCCGGGGGATATTGAATCCGTTGTGGGAAAAGAGAAGTGCCGAATTTATTGGAACTATTCGTTCCCCACCCTCAGGCTCATACAAGCTAATAAGCCTGATGTGGCCCTACTCGACCACAGCAGAGCAAAACGATATTTGTCGTGGAGTTTTCAGCTCCTGGCGAGACGAATATCGTCAGAAAAGAGGAGGAAAAACGAATAAAATATCCAAATTTTCTCTTCGAACTCCGCAGACTCTATCCAGATCACTCTGTCAAGATGGTTGTTCTGATTATTGGAGTCCTTGGTGGAATGATGTCCTCTCTACTCTCGAATCTCAAAATCATACCGGTTTGCCGCACTAAGGCAGAAATCTTAGCCGCACAGATGCAGAAGACTCATTCTTGGCTCACTGCGCTTGCTCAGGGCACATGATTCTTGGACCCAATGATCACTTACCCCACGGTGTGGGGAGTGGTCATTGGTTGATAATGCTGGCGGGCCCTCCCAAATGTATCGGGGCTTCGGGGGATAGGGCCTGACCAGCGCACACTACGGTGGAAAAAAAATATGATTTTATTTCCTTGAGACAGTACAGGCTGTATGGAAAAAGTCAAAGGAAGGGTTTCATACACAGGATTCAGGATTTTCCTGTGGTGCTTGTGATTTGTTTGTAAAAAAATGTGGAATATTTGAATTATTTTCACACTAATCCTTTTCTTTTAATTTTCATTCCATTTCTACCTTATCCGACGGCCTGGACACTATATTTTCACCCCCTTTAGATAACCTGGAAAACTAGTACATTTCATTTATTTCACTAAGCACAATTTTTGTAAAATATGTTAGGTGAACAAATAAATGCGTTGAAAAAAAAATTGTTTGATATATTTCAATCCCGTAACTTTTTCGTTGGTTCTGTTGGCAGCGGTACAAAATTAAACTAGATATTAAAGCTGTTTTGTCAAACCTACCTATTTCTTGACTTTCACTTTTCGCAATATTGTCAACAAATCATAACAAAAACTCTAGCGAAGTGACGATATTGATTAGAACACGATTCCATAATGATTTTAGTACTCA